TTGTCAACAACAAATGTCGGGGCTGCGATTCCTTTCTGTGCGTGTTACGTATCCACGCTTGATTGGAGCAGATGATGTGGAGTGGCATAAGACACCATTCGTGCTGTTAGAGAGAGTGATGCTACCTTTTAGGGCAAATGGGGGGTGTAATACGTGTGATTCGTACGTGTTTCACGCAGCTGTGCAGTAAGTTCAAGACGGCGTGTATTGAAAAATAAACTTACACACAACAGCTATTACAATGCAAAATATCGCCTGCATACAATGCCGATGGAAATCAGTTGAATGGCAAATGTATTATTTATGTGTCTGTGGTTGATTTATAATTGACAGGAACAACACGCTTCTTACAATTATTCCTTGGGCAATAGCACACATTCTCATTAATTGACGCACACGTGTATGTACAATTAGTTTTACCAACCTTGAATATTTTAATGAACATCACTACTCCCTTCATTTTTCCAAAGATGTACCTGATAATGACCTTCAAATAAATGTAGAATTTAGAGTCGTTTGTTCGTGTCTAAATGATCATCCATGCCCATCAAATGTGTGATGTGCTGTTCACTGTATCTCACTGAGTATATGGCCCTTCAGCAGCCATGCATAAACAGAGCATACATGTTAAATGGAACTCAAGGACTTATGCAGTCTTTTCAGTCGCCAACGTTAACACGCGCACTTCTCTCCAATTTAACATCACTCTTGGGATAACCGATATAAATGATTTTCAGCAAAAGAATTGTTTTCCGTTCGTCAGCTTCAACGACTGGTGACTTAAAGCTCATTTTGGCGTTTTCTGCGTCTCTTAAAAACTTCATTTTAATTCTGTGCCACCCCCATATCAGATCGTCCTGATTAACTATGTTAGATTCGATTGATCTCCGATCGCTCTGTAATTTATGGTGACTTGAATTGGGAAATTTAATTTTAAAGATGAATCAGAATATGTGCATCAGTCTAGAGAAATAATCTTGTTGACATTCGTATCCTGTGATGTATGCAAACAACTTTTCAGATATAATTAACAATTACAATTAACGTTTATTTAATTAATATGCATTTTCGTACGGTGTTCATTCTGGCACACAAAACGTATAAATAGTGTTGTTGCATTGCAGTGTAGCCACAAATATCAACGACAAATAGTCAATAATACGTAGGATTTGACACCATTAACAGATTTCAAAACGAATGTGTTCCGCCGATGTGTAACTCAGACATGTTTTAACACTGTTATTGTTTGCACTGGTTATTCTAATAGGTTTACCAGATTTCTGTTATTTTGTTAGAACCCCATCCCTACAGTCGATGTCACATTCTACCCATTTCTAGTTGTTTCATCTGGGCACGTGTGTTATGTTGTGATACCACTGAAATCTGTCATGAGGAGCACAATTTCCAGCGCCATGACACAATATGAATTGAACTGTTACGATTGTCTAGCTGTTTGCCCTTTTTAAAGATAGTATGCAAAATACTACACTGTGTAGTTGGTTGTTTGCAAAAACAAAAACCTTATGCTCGTCCTTCAACAGTTCTAGAAAAATGCATATTCAAAAAAGAAATCGATCAATATAATATGTCACATAAAAGGGGTGACAGAAGGGGCATGTTGGTTAACAAACTAGAGACATATAAACATACATAACGTGTGTTTGTGCAGGTAACCTAAGAAAGGTTCTAATATTTTAGTGACTAAATGTTGTTTTTAGTGATGTGGTTTTACTGACATTTCTTCCATATCATGGAAATTCAGTGTAATAAAACAGAATAATAATCTTTGATATTTTCATTTTATATAATATAATATGCACATTATCACATAACACGCAAATACTTAAATATGATGATGGTTTACACTTTAATGCTTTTTTGAATTATTATTGTGAATTGTATTGATTTGATTATTTCTCGTATCTTCAAATATCAGCTAAAACGTCTGTGCGATATAAATCCACATATACTTGAGACGTATACTCAAATTCTTCAAAGCTCACTCTTTGAATTGACTCTAAAATTATTGACTATGTTACAAGTGCATTCTCGGAAGGTTAATAAAGTGAAGGCTCCAACCAAAAATATCTATATTTCTTACTAAGATAAACTGAAGGTAATCAGTGTTTATTGCAGGCGATAGTTTATGCTAATGAGCCAAGACGCACATATAACGATCTCCATCTTTAGCGTTAGCCGCTGGAAGCTGGGAGCGGATATATGGGATAAATAGGATATCAAATTACTGACTCGTACGGTAATTCTCATCTGTTCCGTAACAAAATGGAAAATACTACACTCGTTCAATAAATCTATTATTGTAATGTCATCATAAAAAATCCTCACATGTACTCAATGATCATGATATAGATAAAGGGTATGATATTATGAGGTTATTACGAGGATACCTCAATGTTTGAGTGTCTGAGTGCAGATCTTGAGGTGTCCTCGTAATAATCTTATTATTATTAATACATCTTTTCCTTCCAAGAATACATCATGGAAATGCCGAAATCGAAAATGTTTAGAAGAGAATCAGCGAACTTCTTGGTGTGGAGTCCGGTCAAACTCTGGTGGCAGCCATGTTTGTTTTTATTATTAAGGACGCTTTGTGCCATGCGTAATAATACATATTATATTATACAACTGTCACCGTAACGCCATAAGTTACAGCTTGCCGTAATTTTTCGGTATTTTACGGAGTATTTTCATCCTACCATATTAGGAAATGCGAATTCCAAATATGGAGTGATTACGCGCGTGTTACGAATTAGATAAGATACCACCATGATAAAGTGGAAATATCATACTCGACCCTAGAACGTTGAACGGAAATCGTATACTGCAATAAGTCTAAGAACGCAATATATGTATTAAATTATAACATATTTATGTCCAATGTGAAACGTGCAACAAAAGAGTTGCTCTGATACACAAAATACATTTTTTAGGTTAATTTATTTTATTAATTTCAATTGAAAAATTGTGATTTGATCGGTAAAAATAATGAAAATATGAATGAAATTTACAATGTGACGTAAGACATTTCAGAAATATCTCATTAAAGCAATCTTGTGTAATTTCCATATAAATGACTTTTGATAGCGGCGAAGTGCTATAAATGTTTTAAATTAACTCAAGATATTGGACTGTTAGTGACGCTTTTTGCTATTGAAGGCAAACACATACTGTCGTTTAAGCACAACGGGGAATATAATAATTTCTATGTGATGTTTTCAATGATGTATTGTATACCCCAATCACATTAATTGCTCGTGTATTTCATTCGCTAGATGAGTCTCAGTTTGGGCGTTGCCACAGGTGTTATTCGATTACAAAAGACGTATTTGCTTTATTGTCGTGACGATAATGACATTATATATATATATTCCTTCCGTTAACAGATTCTGCATATGCTGTTCTATGCCGTACTTATATAATTTAGTTGTGCAATCTGATACGATGTATCTGGAAATTGCTTTTCAACAATACCATTATGATTGCGATAATATCGTATTATACAAAAACTGCATGTTCTTCTCTCTGCAATGTAATAGGTATTCATACGAATCGGTGACAGCTTGGGGCCATTCATTATACAAAATGCACATTACATACAAAATGTCGTCGTTGACTTATTCTCGTTAATAAATGCGGCGTCAGAATAAGGATATTATGTTCATTTTTTAATTTTTCAGAGTGCAACACGAATTAATCACAATATACGACAGTGTATGTTTACACAAACTTGATCTTTTATTGTTTGATTGCGAACGTCCTAGTTTTCATAATAAGTGCAACTCCTAGTACTG